CTTTTGGCATTCTTTCCTCTTTTTGTCTTGGGGAAAGTCTTCCTCTAATTTGATCTTTTCCTTTCCATATACTGATGTCTTTAAAAGGGGTGGTGGAGGCCGAGAGGCCTTGGTAGATGGGCTATGCAGGAGCAATATGTGATTTTAGTGTTATTTGGGAAATGTATCAGAATTGTGCTTCTAATATGTACATTTAGAAATAATGTGTGAAGTTTTAGAATTTTACTGTAGGTTAATAAACAGTGTCATGCCTTTGTGAATAATATATAAATACATTTAAAAGTGACTGATGTGTACATTGGGTGGTGGTAAAATAAATTGGTAGAGCCATTTGGGGGACAGCTTGGCAGTAGTAGATAGCTGCACTTAGCTGAAGCAAAGGAGATTGAGAGGACTTGAGGCGATAAAGATATACTGGGATAAAAATCAAAATGCTTTATATTTCCCAGCATTGTAGGTGGGAATGTAAATTGGAGCTCCATCCCCTGGAAAATGCCTAAATAAACTCCTGCCATCTGCAGCACTTATAGCAAGTGAGCTGAATCTATATTAACTAAGATGAAAAGGTTTGCAAGACATGTTGTTGAATGAGGAAAGGAAGCTGCAGAGTGATAATATTACAGTATATGACATATATGTATGTATTCATGTAAATGCAAGAAAATGACTTGAAGACTATGTATCTAGAACAGTGGTTATCTCTGGGGAAGAGGATAGAAAGGGGACTTTAGCTTTGTAATGTTTTCCTTTTTTACAAGGAGAACACATTCATGTATGTGAAGGGAGAGAGATCAGGTTTTCAGTTACCTATGGAATGACAATTCTGTCTTTCTTCTCTTTCTCTCTTTCACTTCCTTGCTCCCCCTTCATCTCCTTCTCTCCCTTCATCTCCTTTTCTTCTAATTCTATGTTTAACAAAAGGAAAGCCGTATTTAAATCATGTAACGGGTCATATGTGCACTGTGTGTGGTGCAGTTCACAATGTTTAGACCCCAATTGAGGAGTTAAGCCAAGGAACTCAGAATGTGGGTGGTGGGTTGGAGGTGAAGATCAGCTTGGGATCGTGGAAGGAGCACGAGGTGGCCCAGCTGGCTGGATGCTGCCCTGGCTCTGTGGGTGACTGCCTCTGTGACCATGGCCAGCCTTGGAGCCTTTCTGGGCCTCGACTATATCGCCTTATAAACAAGGGATTTTTTTAAAGATCTTTCTTAAAAAGATGCTCTTAAGGATTTCTGATTCTTTAAATGAGTTCATTGAATGTTCAAGGCTGTGATCATAACAATGAATGAAAGCTACTGCCTATACCGTACTTGGACCCTTGTCCTGATCCTTCCTTACCTGCTTCCTGGTAAATGAGAATTGGCTGTATTTCCAAGACTGGGGACTTCCAGCCACCTGGGACACCTCAATTTATCCATATTCTCACCCAAAGTCACCAGTAGCTCATTGGGTTCCTTTTGGGAAAGAAAGATCTGCATCAGAATGGACCAACTAGAAAAAGGAACCCCTTTCTCCAGAATGATGTGGCCCCACTAGAAATTTCCATCCTGGATTTTAACCACAGGCAGAAACCTGGCTCTCATTGCACCCATGACAGGATCTTGTTCTCCCCCTTTTACTTGTTTTACTTCTCTTCCATCCTGTCTTCCTCCCCTTTCTAAAAACTGTGTCACACCCAGTCCCTCTTGTCCCCAGATGGTGACAAAGGCAGGCGTTGCCATTCCTGAGGTTGCCAATCCTTAACCTGTACTGCACCTCAACTTCCGCGGTTTGCTGACGCGTTTTATTTAGTTGTGCACCAGTGTGATTTCTTAGGCCTGGGAAAGCCCTTCTGCCCTGTCCCCTTCAGTTCAGTTCATGGTGGCGCTGAGGCCTCCTCTGAGTGACCTTTCTGTGTTGTCTGTCCAATGTGGGTGACCACTCCTTCCTTCTGAAAGCCCCTGTCCCCTTGGCTTTCCAGACTTCTACCCCTTACACCTGCCTCTGAATGTTTTTTTCTAGTCCAGGACCCCTCCCACCCCATCCCCACTGGTGTTGCTCCTTTGGACTTGGCTGTCGTCTTCACATTCTGCACACTTCCTCAGTGTGCACGGTTCTTAGAAAGAGCCCTTCACTCTATACATTTATCTCTTTATCACTTCATACTTTCTAGGATGGCCTTAATTTAAAAATGAAAAATAGAATATAACGAATGTTGACAAGAATGTGGAGAAATTAGAATCCTTGTGTTTTGCTGGTGGGAATGTGAAAAACCCCTGCAGAAAACAGTTTGGTGGTTCCTCAATAAGTTAAATATAGAATTACCACGTCACCCAGCAACCATTAATGGATAAATGGATAAACAAAATGTAGTGTATCCATATAATGGGATATTATTCAGCCATGAAAAGGAATGAGTTTGGTTAGAGTGCAGCCTTGTAACACCAAGGTCAAGGGTTCCGATCCCCTACTGGCCAGCTGCCAAAAAAAGAAAAAAAGAATAAGTACTGATACCTACTAGGACATGGATGAACCTCAAAAACATTGCTTTAAAGAAGCCAGACACAAACATATATTGTATGATTCTACTTCTATGAAATATCCAGAACAGATAAATCCATAGGGGAAAAAAGCAGGATGAACGGTTGCTGGGAGCTGGGGGAGGGAGGAATGGGGAGTGAGTGCTTAATGGGAGTTGGGCTTCTTTCTGGGGTGACAAAAGTGTTGGAATGCTTGATGGTTCCAGAGGTGATGGTTGCACATTATCAATGTACCAGATGCCACTGAATTGTACAGTTTAAAATGGTTAGTTTTTATGGTACATGAATATTACCACAATTTAAAAAATTCTGAAAAAAAATAAAAGCTGGCTATGAGTGCCTAAAAAAAATACCCCAAAAACCAGGCAAACAAAAAATTAATTAAAAAAATTAGAGATGAGGTTCTAGAGTTATGCTGTCCAGTGTGGCTGTCATTCCCTCAGGTGGCTGCTGAGCACAGGAAATGTTGCTAGCCCAAGCAGAGACTTGCTGTGAGTGTGAAATTTACACCGGACTTCAAAGTCTTGGTATGAACAAAAGAGCGTAAAATATGACATTAGTGATATTTTAATCAAATGACAATATTTTGAAGATATTGCATTAAGGAAGAGATATTGTTAAAATTTTAAAAAGCTGAATGCCCCTTAGAGACATAACATCAAGATTTAAATCCATACTGAAGTCTGCAACATAAAATGATATTATTATTATTATTATTACTATTATTATTTTTAATAGATGACCAGTAAGGGGATCTTAACCCTTGACTTGGTGTTGTCAGCACCATGCTCAGCCAGTGAGCAACCGGCCATCCCTATATGGGATCCGAACCCATGGCCTTGGTGTTATCAGCACCACACTCTCCCGAGTGAGCCACGGGCTGGCCCAAAATGATATTATTTTGAAGCTGGGAAGGAACTTATAAATTTGTTCTTTACCTAAAAATAGATTTTCTTTTTCCTTTTTGTCTTTTTTCGTGACTGGTAATGGGATCACAACCCTCGGTGTCGCGCCCGCACTGCGCTCAACCAGCGAGCAGACCGGTCTCTCTATATATGGGATCCGAACCCTTGGCGGGAGCGCCGCCACGCTCCCAAGCGCCGCACTCTACCGAGTGTGCCACCGGGCCGGCCCTAAAAATAGATTTTTTTTTTTTTTGTCTTTTGTCTTTTTCCGTGTCCGGCAATGGATCGCAACCCTCAGTGTTGCCCCCGGACCGGACCGGGGACCAGCAACGGGATTGCAACCCTCGGTGTTGCTCCTGCGCCTCGCTCAGCCAGTGAGCAACCGGCCATCCCTATATGGGATCCGAACCCGTGGCCTTGGTGTTATCAGCACCATGCTCAGCCAGTGAGCAACCGGCCATCCCTATATGGGATCCGAACCCGTGGCCTTGGTGTTATCAGCACCACACTCTCCCGAGTGAGCCACGGGCCGGCCCAAAATGATATTATTTTGAAGCTGGGAAGGAACTTATAAATTTGTTCTTTACCTAAAAATAGATTTTTTTTTTCCTTTTTGTCTTTTTTTGTGACCAGTAACGGGATCGCAACCCTCATTGTCGCGCCCGTACCACGACCTGCAACGGGATTGCAACCGGCATCGGGATCACAACCTCGGTGTCGCGCCCGCACCGCGCTCAACCAGTGAGCAGACCGGTCTCTCTATATATGGGATCCGAACCCTTGGCGGGAGCGCCGCCACGCTCCCAAGTGCTGCACTCTACCGTTTTCCGTGTCCGGCAATGGATCGCAACCCTCAGTGTTGCCCCCGGACCGGACCGGGGACCAGCAACGGGATTGCAACCCTCGGTGTTGCTCCTGCGCCTCGCTCAGCCAGTGAGCGGGAACCGGTCTGCATGTGGGATCCGAACCCTCGGGCGGGAGTGCCGCCACGCTTCCCAAGTGGTGCACTATCCAGTGCGCCACTGGGCCAGCCCTAAAAATAGATTTTGATTAGGGTGAGAAAGCTGACAAAGGGCAACTAAGGGAGAAACTAGAAAGAGTCCTGTCTTCATGTGGGCTCAGGAGAAAAGGCTGGCCTGGCTGGAGGAAGATTATTGGGAGCATGTCGATCGAGTTCTTCTTACCCCTTCAGTAAACTGTTTCTTACCATTATTTAGCATAGGCCTTATCTTTAAACGTAAGTGCAAGTAAACTAGAATGCTTGATAATTAATCTGTGCAGAAAAACAATAAGAATTATTGGGTCTTTAAATCAAGAGAGGAGCCTGGGCAGCTTTCATAGATTGAGGTATTTTAGCTGCTCCTATAATCAAGAGGGGGAAAGGAGCCCTCTAAATGGTCATTAAAGAAGTTTAAAATTTTCCCAGTTTATATCTGCAATCAGATAAAGTGCAAGAGCTTAAACAAGATGTATAGCCATTATCCCAGTTTACAAAGGACACATTTTGAACAAGCTGCTTTATTTCTTGCCCTTTTACTTAATATTCATCTTTTTGTTTTACATTCCCCCCCCCCAGATCAGCAACGTCTTGTTTTTCATTCTACCGCCCATCTGCATGTGCTTGTTTCGTCAGTATGCAACCTGCTTCAACAGTGGCATCTACTTAATATGGACTCTTCTAGTTGTAGTGGGTAAGTGCATTTGTTTGGGAACATGGACTGAAAGGGAGGAAATGGTATTCTGCATACTTCCTGTCCCCTTTGAACATGTTTTGTAAACCAAAGTCGCTCTGACGTCTTAGCAAGCTTTTTCACTTGCTTGATGCCAAAGGAGGATTCTTTTGAATGCAGGCTTGATAACAAGGTTGGCTGTAACTATCACTTAATTGCATTTGAGACTTTTTTGTGTGATAGCTGATGGTGTTGTGCCAGTGCAGTGTCTGACAACGTCTGAAGAACGTCATGTGAAACAATTGAACTCTGGTGAGACTGTGGTTTCTAATGGACTTAAGTTTAAAAAAATTGAGATGTTTGATCCCTCATTGTTCTATGAATTACTTGTGTAATGTCCATTTCCTCCCACAGGCAGGTTGGGAATTCTTAACAGTAAGAGAACGTTGACTTTTATTTATGGCCTGTTCCCATGAGGGCTTGGTGGATGAAGACAGAGTGTGTTTGTGGAATTTTTAAAGTTCTGATATACTGATATTTGGGCCCTATTGAGATGCTCTTTCTAGACTTGAGGTCTGCATGCCTGGGTGGTGTGAGTTTCTTCCTTCAGTTACTTTTTTCAGAGAGTGCAAGTGATCTGGTGGTTGCAATAGCGGTTGGTGAAAGGGCTATCGTTCACAGTGTATTGAGTTTTTGAGTCTATTCTTCTATGGTGATCTTATTCATTGGCTGTAATTGATTCTAGGAATTGGATCTGTCTACTTCCACGCAACCCTCAGCTTCCTGGGTCAGATGCTTGATGAACTTGCCATCCTCTGGGTCCTGATGTGTGCTCTGGCCATGTGGTTCCCCAGAAGGTATCTGCCAAAGATCTTTCGGAACGACAGGTAGGCTTGTGCTGAACATTTTTCCCTTTGCTTCTAGGTGCAGTACCCAATATAGCAATGTGTATATCAAGAAAAATAGCACATGATTGAGCTCAGCCCGGTGGTGAGCTTGTCGTATACTTGTTTAGTGTCCACTGATTATTTTTGTGATCTGACAGTATAAATAAACTGGTGGGTAAAAGAGGGAATTTTAATAATGCTTGGGGAAGAATTTATATAACATTAGTAACAAAAAGTCAAATATCTCTCGTTTGATATGAGCAAGAGTGGACAGACTTTCAGTGAGGGAGAAATTCCTGGATGGTAGTTCAAAGACCTTTGATTTCCTGCTAGAATATTTCTTTGAGTCTCGTTCACCTCCACCAATCCAGCTCCACCAGTTTAAGAATTGGTTCGTGAAGCTACAGATACTGTAGTTTTCAAATTGCGTTGTTTTTGCTTCTGATGAGGGCAACACACACACATACACACACACACAGACGCATTTCCAAGCTGGAAACCCAGAATTTCAGGAAGGGATGTATTTTAATGTCCATTATGTTAGGATTATATGGTTATTATTCATTCAGTAGATATTTTTGAACACTTACTTTTTATTGTGTATTTTTCTAGGCAGTGGGATAGAGCAGTAAACAGAACAGCATGAGCTTACACCGAAGTTGGGGAGATTACAAATCAACAAACAAACAAACGAAATAAGTGCTATAGTGTTAGAGCGTGATAAGTGCTATGATGAGAAATGAAGGTGGTAAGGGTATAGCAGGAACCTGGGGTGCTGGTTTAGAGTCTGGCTAGAGAAAGCCTTTCCCAGGAGCTGTATGAGGTTTGTTACTCTCTGGAGGAACAGAGGAGAGTTAGCCTGATAAAGATGAGAGATGTTACCAGAACACATTACCCACATATCTCTCTGTAGGACACTGTGTTTTGTCAAAATATATACATAGATAAATAGTCTGAAGATATGGATTCAATGAATCAAACTGTGTGTACCATGGGAAGAGTTAGAGCAGGAAAATGGAAGAATTCATTGCAGTTTTTCTGGCACTGTGAAAAGGAGCAGAACTACACAGCTGTAAAAGACCAAGGCTGCTCTCTGTGCACTGAAGTGGAGGAGTGTCTGTCTATGAAAATTGCTGGTTGCAAAAAGCACATTATAGAACTGAGTGTGAGATATCCTAATTTTAGAGTGAATAAACTAAACCTTTTGAGTATATGTTGTGTTGTTTTGTTTGGCAGCTGGCCGGTACAGGGATCCAAACCCTCGACCTTGGTGTTATAACACTGCGCTCTAACCCACTGAGCAACTGGCCAGCCCTGAGTATGTGATGTTGTATGTGCACAAAAATGCCCGGGAGGGTGAGGACACCAAACTACTGTCATTGCCTGTTCCTGGGCATCGGAGTGGAGGGGAACTTCCGCTTTTACCTTTAATCATAGCTGGTCGAAGTTTTTTTCTTTTTTTTTTTTACAAGGAGCACAGGTTAATTTTTAGTACTAAAAATTTATTTTTAAATGAGGTAGGGAGAAAACATACTTTAAAGGGATTAGCTGTACAATCTTTGTCCTGGGAGGCAGGATTTGAATTAAATAGTATTATCTCTGAGTATTATCTAGCAGATACAAATGCCCCCAAGAAGGTTAGTTATCAAAAAATGAGAGAGAGAGAGAGAGAGAGGGAGATGTGTACAGCACACCTCAAAAGGTGGGCGCTCCTGGTGGGTTCTCCATCTTGCGAGGCTTGCTGCTCAGCAGAGAAAGCATGCTTTAAATGTGGCTGGTTGCTTTAGGCTGTCTCCAGGTCCTAGTCTTCTTGTTTGGTTTCCTTGTTCAGCTTCAGGAGAAGCCTTGTGAGGCAGGGAAGGGGGCTGAGGGCAGGGGTGGAGGTGGGAGGCACAAAGCAGGGTCATGAGGTGGTTTTGTGGACAGGGACTTTTTGACTCTGCCTGAAAAACAAGCCATTGACCTTTTGGCTCTTCCTCCTGTCTCACAAGGTGCCCACCAGTCACCTTCAGCCTTTCCTGAAGCCTGGTGTATGTTAGGTTGAGAGCGGAGGAGCCACTTTTCTCTTAGATTTGACCTTTCAAGGTAATCTGAGTAAGAAATTAAAGAAATGGAAATAAGCGTTTTGTTTATTGTTTATGGCTTTCTGGAGTCCTGGGTTGAAATTCCAAGTGGTTGTTTTTTTTTTTTTTTCCCTTTTGTCTTTTTTTACTGACCGGTAACGGGATCACAACCCTCAGTGTCGCGCCCACACCGGGGACCAGCAACAGGATCACACTTGGGAGAGTGTGGTGCTG